TCATACATTCTGTCATTTGTGTTAAGGCCTATTATGTGAAGTTAGTGTCCCAGTGCAAGTTCATCCACTGGGGTTTAGTCAGCCATCTAGAGTCTCTCTCTTCAAGATCAGCTCTTCCTCAGCCAGCAGTAATCAGCTGCTAATAATTCTTTGACTAAGATTGGGACTTGCTGTTCATTTCCACAGTTCTGTGCTGGGTTTTTGTCTGCTTAAGTTGGCATGGGTCTTGTGCTTGCTGACATCGTTGCTGTAGGTTTGTATGAGAAGAGCCCCAGGCGCCTGTAGGACTATTTCTGTATGGTCCTACGCTACCTCCCTGCCTCTTAGAATCTTTCTGCCCCCTCTTCTTCAATGACCCCTGAGCCCTGGGTGGATGGACTTCAGTATAGGAGTCCTGTCCAAGGACCCACACTCTGCAGACACTTATTCTCTGCATTTTGGCCATTTGTGGCCTTTCGTGTTCCTGGCCCTCTGTTGCATGAGGGAACTTTATCGATGAGAATTGAAAGATGCATTAGTGCTCTCTTCATCCCTTGTTCTATGTTCCATGAGCCTTAGATGTAGAGGTTGCATCCTAGATGTGCCACTTAGTCTTGGGCAAGTCACAGAGAATCTCTGTGTGTGACCAGTGGTGTAACACTGTAACAATCTCAATGGATTTCAAAAAAAAGCTACTTTGATGGGTGGTGACTGAGATACTTGTCTGTAAATTTAAGGATCCATATTTTGCACATAGTAAGAAATTACATTTGTCTAGGGATATGAGAGCCTTGGGTTTTCTCTAAGATCTGTGACCTCTCCAGTCATGTGTATTTGGCTAGGTTTACAGTACCAGACCTGAGTTTCCTCGCACTGATTGGGCTTTAAGTCCAATTAGGTAGCTGTTGATTGCCCCAAGATAAAACTGCCACTACTGCACCAATGTTGTTTGCTGTGTTGGTCATTGATATGGTTTTTAGGCCTTGAAGCTGGGGTTGGCCATAATTGATGTTCTCCCCCACCAGCTTGTGTAGTGCTCTCCAAAGCTATGAGAGCTAGCCTTCAGGGGAGGTGGCTTCCAGGTCGGTTCCAGCTCCATTGCTCCAAATCCTGTGTCCAAAATATGTCCTGCCTTCAGCAATAGAGTCTTACCATCAAGTTCTGGGAGGCAATCAAGGACTGTGGCAATAGCCTGTGTAATCTTGGGAATCTCTTGGACCACCCTGGCCAACAACTCAAAGGAAGGTTTCTCCTGTCTGGCACTGTTCTTGTCATGTAGTCTTCAGCTATACTCATCCACTCGTGAGGATATTGTATGTGTAATTTTTCAGTAGGTTTTGGGACTAATACGATTCCCTCTGGTTTTTACATACTAGCTAGGCACTATTTATGTCTCCTCTCTCTCCCTGTCTTATCTTCCCTCCCTGCCCTCCCTGTTTAAAGTGCCCCCCATTTCCCCATTTCTCCTTTGATGTATTTTGTATGCTATGGTCCCACCTCTTTTGGGCTCCTTCTTCCCCTTTATTCCCATAGTTCTTTGTGTAGTCCTCCTTCTCCCCCTCCCCTTAAACTACCCCCTTTTTATACATTTCTTCCTGTCTTCCTGTCTTCTACTGTTCTCTCTCAGGTTCCTTCTTTCCCTTTACCTCCCTGGTTTCCTTCCATTTTCCTGGTTCCTGTAGTTACATCAGGATATGCACTCACTAATAAGGATTTGGTGCTAGGATCCACAAAAGAGGGAAAACATAGGGTCTTTTGTTTTTCTGAGTCTGTGTTACTTCACTTAGTATAACAGTTTCTAGATCCATCCATTTACCTGCAAATTTCATGATTTCATCTTTCTTTACTGCTGAATAGAACCTCATCGTGTAAAGTACCACATTTTCATTAACCACTCATTGGTTAAGGGGCACTTAGGTTCCTTCCATCTCTTAGGTATTGTGAAAAGAGCAGCAACAAACATGGTTGTACAAGTACCTCTGCAATAGGATGAGGCTTTGGGTATATGCCAAGGAGTGGTATAACCAGGCAAAAATATCTTCTAAATGGCTGTTACAGAGACAATTTAAATTTCCTTTTCCTTTTTGAAAAGCAGTTTGACAACGTATACTTAAGGTCTACAACGTGGTGTTATGGAACACATACAGACGGTAAAAATGTTGTTAAGTGAAGTGAATGAACATTTCCACCATCTTCCACAGTTTTTGTGGCAAGAGCAGCTAAGATTTCATTTAGCAGGAATTCTGTCAACAGCACAGTTAACACACCGTGTCCTGTGGACAGCATAGTTAACACACCATTTCCTGTGGACAGCACAGTTAACACAACCTGCTTGGGCTGCACATCAGAGCCTAGATCCACTCATTTGCCACATTGTCTTCTTTGCACCCTCTCACCTGCATCTCTCTGCCAAAGTTTCTTCCTTCCCTACTTCCTGTCGTTTCCTTCCTTGAACTTGAGAGTGTATTTTTCTCAATGTCTAAAAGCTTAAACTTCCCACAGCCTTACCCACTGAGGAAGCATCACACACCCAAGATCAGCCTTATTTCTTACTCTCTAAGGTTTCTTGCACCAGCTTTGCCTCTGCACAGGGTTGGAGGAAATGTCCTCGTATTCACTGTCCTCACCCCATGAAGGTGCCCTGACCTTCCCAGAGGACTCGCCTCAGTTCTTCCATCCAAATGATGTGATACTTGCTGTTGGTAGGTCAGAAACATATTTAAGAGGTAGGAAAGGCTCTGGGCCCCTTGAATCATGCCTTTTGTCTTCCTAATTGTGGACAGGTTTAGGTGCTCAAAGGGTTTCTCAGACATTTGAGGGGAGGTCTGATATATATTCCCAGTAACTACCTTCTTCCTTCCAGAAAATTCCAATGGTTCACATGATTTTAATGCTGCTGACTAATGTCTGTGTCTAAATATCTTCCTATTCCTGGAATAAAAAAAAAGGGGACCATTCAGAGACACATTGAAGAGGAAAATGATAATTTATAACCCATTGAGGTGAGTAAGAATTTATTCATCATTGATCAAAACAGGCACACTGCTTTTGAAGACTGACAGCTCCTCTGGTATTAAAAAGAAAACAATGTATATATACATATGTTTTCAGATATATATATACACATATATGCATATTTTTATAAATGTATATACATTTAGAATACATCCACTCTTTGAAAATATAGCTCATCCATTACTAAGTTATCATTGTCTTTATCTACATCAACAATACATTCATAAAGCCATGGGGAAACTGGGTAAATAAACCTTTTTAAACCATTATGGAAAGCATGTCAGGAAATGGATAAGGCATATCATATATTTAAACGTTGCATAATTGATGCTGTGGTAAAGATTGTACAAGATACTTAAAAATGCAGAAATTTAATCTAGAAAGTTTGGGGAGATTATAAGATGTGATACTTAAGTTAAACTTTAATCATGAATGAAAGATGAACCATTCCAGGGAAAGGATATGGTATATACAAACTATGGAGACTAAGATGACAGCTACTATTAGGAAGCAGGTATCCACTATATTGCACGTATTTATAGCTATACTTAGATAATACATAATCAGGTTGACATTTTACAGTTTTCTTCCATTAAGAAAGTATCACAAAAATTATTATAACTTAAAAAAGTGAAAAGACAAGAAAGTTGGTAAGCTATGCATTGAAAAGAAAAGATGGTAAAGTGGATTAGTGGGTTTATTCCTGCTTTTTAAATAAGTACTTATTGAATATAACATGTAGAAAATAAAGTATTGAAATATTATATATTACTATAAGAAAATAAATGGGTACAAAGGGCAAAAAAAATGGAACTCTTGAAAGTCTATGATAATGTGTTGGGCTGGAGTTTAGTGGTAGGACACTTGCCCGGCGTGTGTCAGGTCCTGAGTTTGACCGCCAGCACAATAAAAAGAAAGAAAAGTTCTTAGGATGTGAAATATTAATGTGTATAAAATATAAGGAACTAATTGCATATATACACATGTATATGGACATTTTAACTATTTCACATTGCACAGTCTTAATGTATATCTATATACATTATATATACATAAGTATATGTGTATACACAATGTCTGATATACAATTGAGCAAGACTACATAAAGACAATTTTCACTAAATGAATTCAAAATTAAAATTTAAGGGAACTGGGACAATGGCTCGGTAGGTAAAGTGCCTTACACACAAGCGTGGAGAACTGAGTTGAGATCTCCAGAAGCCATATAAAAAGCCAGGGCTGGAGGCACACTCCTGTAACCCAAGCACTAGGGGAGGTGAAGATGGTACATCCCTGAAGCTTGTTGGTTAGCTTGCCTAGCCAAATTCATGAGCTTCAGATTTTTAGACACATCCACACACATGAGCCACACACATACACACATTCACACTACACATACCACACACACACACACACAACTAACGTGGAGCCTGATGGACTACTTAAGGAAAGTATAGGGGTTTTTTTGGTGGTGGTGGGTTTTTTTGGTCTTTTTGAGGTAGGGTCTCCCTGAAGTCCCAGCTGCCCTGGAACTCACTATGTACACCAAAAAGTATGGTTTTAATCCTTGTTTTCTCTTTGACTCTGTCAGCAAGGTACAGTTGACAAGTTTGTCATTAGAACACTAACACAGCTAACTAGAACCACTTGCCTGTGTCCTTTAATTCTGTTTGTCCCAGAGACTTATGCAATGACTTTTAGGCAGGGGATTTTTTAGCATGATTTCTTTTATAAATTTATAATAATTTGCCTTATTTAAGACTGTATTGATAACCAAACAATACATAAGCTTCTTTCGCACTGTAACCCAATGCCAAAGGTATAAAAGATATGAGCTACTTCCCCTTGGGGTCCACATTTTGAGGCTTGAACCCTCAGGACCAGGCTGCAGCCTAAATAAAATACCTGCTTCCTGTACACTTCCAGTGTCCTGCCTGATCTTTCCCACAACACAACACCACACACCACACACACAATACACACAAATGATAATAATAAATAGAAATTTTTAAATGCTCAAATTTGTTGCTATGTCTAGAGAATCAAAATTATAATTAGTATTGAGATATCACTTCATATAAATCAGACTAACAAACATTTAAAAATGGCATAACTGCCCATTACTGATAAGAGAAAAGGGATAGTTTGAAGCTCTGTGGCTCAAACAGCACAGTGGCCTTTGGAGAAACAATCTCATTTCTTCTATTAAATGACAATAATGATGAAGAGCTTCATAAATCCTTGAACTTAGCCAATCTGCCTGTGAGAACTTCTGCATGAAGTCTGGAGTATCAGGGCGTATGTTTGGGGCTGTCTTTTTCACATTGTTGTTATTAATGGGGGGAAAAAAAGACCTAGAAACAAAGCAAATGTCAAGTGACATTTCCTGAAGTGATAAATAATGACTAAACTGCTTCTTACTTAAAAGTAATCACTGTTTAATAACTGCTTCTGAATCATAGGATGTGATTCTTTTAATGACATTCTCTCTCTCTCTCTCTCTCTCTCTCTCTCTCTCTCTCTCTCTCTCTGGGTTTGTTTTGTTTTATTTTTGTTTGTTTTTTGGAGTGTTGTTTGTTTGTTTGTGGGGGTTTCAAGGTATATTTTTATTGGATTTTTGTGCACTTCAAACAAAGCATCTTAATCATCTTTATACCCCCTGCCTCACCTGCAGCCCCCACCCCAAACCCTCCCACTGAATTCCAGGCATTCTGTCATATATATTACGGCTTATTGAGTTAAACTCGTGTACCTAGATGTCCCTCAAACAAGTTCATCCACTGGAGTCTAATCAGCCTATCTAAAGTCTCTCCTTTAAAGATCAATTCTCCCTCACCAAGTGATAATCAGCCAGGGTTGGTGGTGCATGATCATAAGGAAACAGAGTCCTCCAGGCCTCTGGGAACCTGCTCATATGAACTTACAGCAATTGTGTCAGCATGCACAAGACCCATGCAAACTCAATCAGAACTGGGGAAATGGGCAGTAGTTACCAACCTTAGCCAAGGACTATTGGCAGTTTATTTTTTGTTTTGTTTTGACACAAGATCTCATACTGTAGCCCAGGTTGGCTTCGAACGCCCTATGAAGACTTCACATTCATAGCAATCCTCCTGCCTCAGCCTTTTGAGTGCTGAGCTTATAGGTGTGAACCACTATGACCAAATTCTTTCACAGCATATCTTGATCTTTCTGTGCTTCTATGGAACAAAAACGATTTTCATGTACACTAAAGTTCAAAATTCTTTGCATTTAAGTTCTCTACTCAGGAAATGTAATCTGCTTTCTCATACAGATGAGGAGTTCATGTATATGTTTCCTGATTTCTCATACAGATGAGCTTATTCATATTATATGTGTATGTTATAATCTAACATTCTTTTATGTATATATGTTAAAGACAAGTGACATTTTTCTACTTATGGTTTAGGTCAGCATTTAAGAAGCCTTGACATGACCCAGCCAGCTAAACAGAGCAAAAGCCCAGCCCGTCCACAGATGACTGCAGTTGCATCTTTATAGAGTCCTTTGTTTCCTGGTACTCTGCTGAACTTACAAAAATTATGTTTGTGAATATGACTACTTATAGAGTATAGAAATCTTTCAAGGGGAATAAACAATATTGTTACTGACAACTTTTTTATACTTTTTTTCAATGTATATTTTTATTGAATTTTTGTGGACTTCATATTTAGACCCCCTCCTCTATCTGCAACCCCCATAGCCCACCCACAGGATTTTATGTACTCTATCGTATATGTCAAGGCCTCTATCATATATGTCAAGGCCTGTCCATCAAGTTTGTATACCCAGGTGTCCCTTGGTGTGAGTTCACCCACTGAAGCCTGCTCAACCTGTCTGTGTCACTCCCATAAAGATCAACTCTCCCTCACCCAGCAGTGATCAGCTGTCAATAGTTCCCCAGCTAAGGTTGGGGCCTCCTGCCCATTTCCCCACTTCTATGCTGGTTTTTGTTTGATCAAGTTTTCATGGGTCTTGTGCACGCTGTCACCATTGCTGCAAGTTCATATGAACAGGTTCCCAGGAGCCTGTAAGACTGTTTCCTTACGGTCATATACCACCCCCGGGCTCTTACAATCTTTCTGTCTCCTCTTCTGCAATGGTCCCTGGGCCCTGGGTGGATGAGGTTTAATATAGGAGTCCTATCTAGGGACACTTCTGATTGAGCTTTCTGCCTTTTGGGGTTTCATAAATATAATATGAGATTTTCTCATTTAATGCATCAATTTGCATGTATCATATACTTTACTTCTAGTTTGGTTTAAACAACAATTTTCTTGTAACCAACTCTAAGTAAGATCATTTTCACTTTGGATTTTTAAGAAAGGGATATCTTGTGGCCTTTTAATCATGAACGGCAACTCTGTGTGCATGGGGCCTGCAGGGAAAAAATAAAAGCGAAAAAAAAAAAAGGAGAGGAGGGGAGTGGGGGGAAGGGAGAAAGAGAGACATGAGTGTAGGAGGGATTAGTTGGGAAGAAGGGGTTCAGAGAGAAGGGGATGGAGAGGAGAGAGTGAGGGGTGAATGTGATAAAAGTCCCTTGAATACAAGCATGATATTGTCAATTTTTGTTGGAGAGATGGCTTAGCAGTTAAGCACACTGGCTGTTCTTACAGAGGACCAGGTTCAGTTCCCAGTATCCACATGGCAGCTAACAACCATTCATAAATCCAGTGCCAGGGGATTTGGTGCCATCTTCTGGCATCTGAGGGTATTGCATGCATGTGGTACACTTACATAGAGGTAGGTAATACATTCATACACATAAAAACAAAAATAATAAAGAAAATATAAACAAAGAGAGTCAAAGCAGAGTCTATTGTGGCCAATTCTTTTTATCACTATAAATATCTTTAATATTTTAGTGAATTTTTGAGAATTTCATACAATGTATTTTGATCACTCTTAGAACCCCTCCCCTATCTGCACTTCTCTTTCATACCCCCCCACCAGATTTCATGTACTCTATTATTTTTTAAGCCCTATTGAATCTAATCTGTGACCCCAAATGTCCTTCAGCATGGAGCCTAGTCAACATACTCAGCATCACAATTTTAAAAAGTATTTTATTATTTTTATTTTATGTGTGAGTGTATTGCCTGCATGTTGGTAGGTGCACCCATGTTGTGCAATGCCCACAGAGATCAGAAGAGGGAATCAAATCCCTTGGAACTGGAGTTATAGATGGTTGTTAGCCACCATGTGGGTGCTGAGAATCAAACCCAGGTCCTCTGCAAGAGCAGCCAGTGTTCTTAACTTTTGAGCCATCTCTCCAGCCCCCCAATTTTTTTGTATGCAACACATGACTTATACAGGTGGGAAAAAAGCAACTAAGTAAATGGAACCACAGAACATGCACAGAACAGGGCCTGCTGGGCATATGTGCACACTACCTGCAAGATGGGGGCATGATGGACTCTGCCCACACACAGTCCTGGAGGGTGCTGGAGAGCCACAGTGGGGTCATCCTGGAGGTGTCACTGTAATTCTGCTCACTAAGAGGTGAAGAGTGCATAGAAACTCTTAGTGAGAATAAATGGTTTAATTCCTCATTCCTCAGGAAATTATAGAAATTAAAATGATGCATAAACTATGACCTTTTGTACAAATAGAAAAATATTAACATAAAGAGAAGATAACATTTAAATAAATTCAACATTAAGCTTAATTTCTACAAACTTGTTGAATATCGCAGTCCTCTTTACTAATTATCTTTAAAAATTACAAGTATGCCTATTTATGATAAAAATATGATATTTTTAAAATATCTATATATTCTTGGATGGCTAAATCAGGCTAATTAATGCACAGTACTTTGTACATGTTTTTCTGTTCTGAGAACATGTGAAACTTGCTTCTTAACAATCTTCAGGACTATAACACATCATTATTAATTACACTCGCCATGTTCACTCATGTATCTCTTGAACTTGTTCCACCTATCTCACTAAAATTCTGAAACATTTTTCTAACACCACAACACCCCTTCTAGCCATTGGCAACCAACATTTTACTCTATTTTGACTTCAGTATTTTTATATTTGTTATAATGTCCTCTAGGATCATGCACACTGCAGAAGACAAGATTTCCTTCCTTTTGAAGACTAAATAGTATTCCATTGCAAATAAATGTCATACTTTCTTACTTTTCCTATTTTTTAATAATTTCATTTATTCTTTGGGAAGTTTACACACTGTATTTTAATGCATCAGACCCTTTTCCTCCTCTCCCCTCAGATCTACCCCCAATGCTATACCCCCTCTACTACCTTCATTTTCTGTATTACTTTTTTAAAGACCTATTGACTCTAGTTTGTTTTTCCCAAATATTCTTGAATATGGGCCTATACCCTGGAGCCTGGTCAACCTATTTTGCATCACATCCTTAAAGAAAACATATTCTCCCTGTCCCAGCAGCTATCAATTACCAATAGTTCCTCAACCCTCCCTCATTGCTGGCTTTTTGTATAGCTTGGGCTTGTGCATGTCTTGTGCATGCTGTCACATGTGCTGTGGGCTCATATGTGCAAGTGCCCTGTTGTATCCAGAAAACATGGTTTCCTTGTATTCTTCCGCCACCTCTGGCTTTTATGATCTTTCTGCCCCCTCTTCTGCAATGAGCCCTGAGTCTTGGAAGGAGAGGATGTGATATAGATGTCCCGTTTATGGCTGAGCACTCTCCAGTCTCTTGTTCTCCTCTTGCTGACCATTGTGAGTCTCTGTGTTAATCAACATCTGTTACAAGGAAAAACACTCTGATGAGAATTGAGAGGTGCACTAATCTATAGGTATAATAAGTCATTAGGATTCAGTTTAATACTATATCCATTTGTCCGTGTAATAATAGTAGGTTCTCCCCTACAGACTGTGACCTGTCTCGCCACAGGTCCTTAACCCTGACAGCAGTGCCAAATAGGGGCTCCATCTTGTGAAGTGGGCCTTAAATCCAGTCAGAAAGTGGTTGGTAACTTACATAATATTTGTGCCACGATTGCATCCAAATAGGCATATCTTTCCAGCCCAGTCATTATTGTATCTTTCAGGGTCCACAGCTGAGTAAAGTTGATGATTACTTTTCTTTTCTGGTAACATGCATAACAACCAGCACTTTGAAGGCTAGGCATTGGAGATGAAGCCCAAGGTCAGTACCAGACTGATTTTTCTATTTTGTTCTATGTTTCACATATGTACTGTGTTCAGCCATAGGGTCTTACTGTCACGTTCTTGAGTGCAAACAAGAACAATGGCAATAGTTGGTATTGTTTGAAGGTCTTAGGATTTCCAAGGTCAACAATTTTTTTAAAGGGGGATCCCATTTTTAAACTGCATTGGGCTGTTTATTTGCAAGCCTGTGGTGCCTTGTGGAGGTATTTTCTTTCTCTCTCTCTCTCACACACATATTATAGGGTAACACCACTTAAATTATTTTTGTATATATATGCATTTTAAGAAGCATCTACATATGACTGTTTCAAAAGGCCTTTAGTGTTGGTCATCCTTCATCACACTACTTCTACCCTAACCCTAACATTCCCCACCCCATTTAACCCTTCCTATTCCATTACTCCCCTTATATCACTGCATTCTATCTCCCATCCCAGGAAGCTAACTTCCAAAGCCCTGAATTAGTTTCCTGACCTCTATGGATTTTCCATAGGTATGTGAAACACACATACCTAAAAATTAAAAGCTAGCATCCGCATTTGAGAGAAAACGTGGGACATTTCTCTTTCTGAGTCTGGGTTGCCTCATTCAGGATTACTGTTTTCAGTTCCATCCATTAACTTGTGAATTTCATAATTTCATTTTTCCTGACAGCTGAACAACATTCCATTGTGTAAATGTACCGTATTTTCATTATTCATTCATCAGTTGGTGGACACCTAGGTTGTTTCCATTTCCTGGCTACTGTGACAAGAACAACAATGAACCATGGATGAACATATATCTGTTCTCTTAGATATCTGCATATTAAGATATAAAATCCTTTGTGTATATGATCAAGAGTCGGATAGCTAGATTGTGTGGTAGATATGTTTCTATCTTTGTGAGGAACTTCCACACTATTTCCATAGTGGCTGCCCCAGTTTGCACTCCTACCAGCAGAGAATAAATGTTTCCCTTTCCCTACATCTTCTCCAGCATTTATCATTGTTTATTTTTTGGATTTTAGCTATCCTGACAGGAGTAAGATGAAATCTTGAAGTAACTTTAATTTACATTTCCCCATTGACTAAAGATGCTGAATATTTAAAAAATATTTCTCCATTTTATTTCATCTTTTGGGAATTTGTTGTTTAGTTCCTTTCCTCGATTTTTAATTGAGTTGTGTGGTTTTTTATGTTTAGTTTTTTGAGTTTTTGTATATTATAGATACTAACCCTCTGCCCTCTGTCAGGTGTATAGCTGGTAAGGATTTTTTCCCATTCTGTAGACTGTCTCTTTACTTGGGTAATGGTATCTTTTGCTGTACAGAATCATTTAAGTTTCATGAAGTTCCACCTGTCATTTTTTAGTCTAAATGTCTGTGCTATTAGGATCTTATTAAGAAAATCCTTTCCTGTGCCTGTAAGTTTCAGTGTATTCCTTATTTTCTATCAGACTCCGGGTATCAGGTCTTATGCTAAGGTTCTTGATCCATCTGAAGTTGCATTTTGTGCGTGGTGAGGGGTGTGAATCTAGATTCATTCTTCTACAGATAACAATCCAGTTTGACCAGCATCATTTGTTAAGCGTTGTTGAACTTTTTTTTCTTCAATGTGTATTTTTTGCCTCTTTGTCAAAAATAGGTGGCTGTAAGTGCATGTGTTGGATTTTTTTTTTTTTTGTCTTTTTGAGACAGGGTCTCCTTGTAACCCCAGCTGTCCTGGGACTCGTTATGTAGACCAGGCTGGCCTCAAACTCACAAAGATCTGCCTGCCTCTGCCTCCCAAGTGCTGGGATTAAAGGCGTGTGCTACCACACCCAGCTGTGTTGGAATTTTAATGAGGATTGCAGTGAATCTGTAGATTGCTTTTGAGTAAGGCCATTTTTATAATATTAATCCTATGATTCATGAGCATTCTTCTGATTTCTCTTTAAATTTCTTTCTTTGATGTCCTAAAATTTTTATTATACATGTCTTTCACTTTCTTGGCTAGATTTATTCTGAGATATTTTACTTTTTAAGGCTATTCTGAATGGATTTAGTTCTATGGTTTCTTTCTCAGTATGTCTATTATTGGTATATAGTAAAGTTACTGATTTTTGCGTGTTAGTCTTGAATCCTGCTGCTTTGCTTAATGTGTTTATCAGCTTTCAGGGACTTCTGCTGTATCTTTAGGATCTTTTATGCATAGAATCATATCATCTGCAAATAAGGATAGTTTAAGTTCTTCCCTTCCTATTTGTATCCCCTTTATCTCCTTCACTTGTCTTATTGCCCTAGTTAAAGCTTAAAGCATTATACTGGGCGTGAATGGAGTGGAATCCTGCCTTGCTCCTGGTTTTAGTGGAAACGTTTTGAATTCTTCTCCACTGAGCATGATGTTAACTATGGGCTGTTGCACAGTACCTTTAATATGTTTGTATATGTCCCCTTCTACCCTTAGATTCTCCATGGCTTTTATCATGAACGAATGTTGGATTTTGTCAAAGGCCTTTCCATCTCTTGATGAGATGATCATTCTACAGAATAACTTGAGAATTATTGGTTTTAGTTCTTCTCTGAAAGTCTGGTAGAATCTAGCTGATCATGGGCTCTTTTTAGTTTGAAGATTTTTAATTACTGCTTCTCTCCTGTTAGCTGTTATGGGTCTGTTTAAATTACTTATGTCATATTGATTTAACTTTGGTAGGCTGTATGTATCAAGAAATTCATTCATTTCTTTTACATATTTCAGTTGAGTGGAAAATAAATTTTTAAATATGTGCTTATGATTTTCTGAATTTTCTAAGGGTCTGCTATAGGTTTTCCATTTCTTTTTTGATTTTATTAATTCAGATGCTCTCTTCCTTTTTGGTTAATTTTTCATCTCTGTCTTGGTTATCTTTGAGTTTGTTTTGTTTCTTGTTTTTTTGTTTTTGTTTTTGTTTTTACTATATCTATAGTCATTCATTTAAATTCTTTGTCTGAAAGTTCTTCCGGGTCAGTTTCATTAGTACGGGATTTGTATTTCTTTGGTGGAGACATGTTATTTTGTTTTTTCCTGTTGTTTTTATTTTGCTATTAGGATTTGCACATCTGGAGTCAGTTTGTTGGTTGAACTTTTCTTTCTTTTTTTTTTTTTGTTCAAGTCACCTTCTTTCAGCAGAGGTGCTTATAATGTTCATGAAAGGGTCTAGTTTATGATAGAGTTGGAATGTTGATTTCCTCTGACTTGGTCACTGCAGTGGCTTGGTCAATGAGCTTGGAACAGGTTTCCCCTGCCAGTGTGAACTGAGCCAGGGTTTCAAGGCTGGAAGGAACAACTCAAGAGTCCCAGTCAGGTAGGTGGCAGGGCTCTGGTGAGTCTTGAAAGTAGAGATGGGCCAGGGTTTCTCTGGCATTTGGAAGAATCCCAAGTGGGGATTATCTGGAATCTGGTGAATCACCAAGGTAAGGACAGGGCCCAGTGGAGATGGTCGTCCCTGGAAAGCAATGGTGGGGTTCTGGGGTGATATAAGTAGGCCACAGGTAGCCTACGTGGATCTCCAGGCCATGTGGGCAGACTATGTAATCAATCCCTGGTTGCGAGAAGGTTGAGGTCTGGTAAATCCCAAATGGATGAAAGGGGCCAAGAGGAGGTTGTGGTCCCAGGCAAGAGGCAGCAGAAGGGTTTTGGCTAATATCACGGTTTTTTTTTATCCATTTACATGACAATGAATGTTTAAGCTACTTCTGCTACTTGGCTGTTGTGATTAGGACAGCAATGACTGTGGATGTGTAAATATCTCTTTGACATACTGATTAAGAAGTACAATTATGGGGCTGGAGAGATGGCTCAGAAGTTGAGAGCACTGACTGCTCTTGCAGAGGACCCAGGTTTGGTTCCCAGCACCCACATGGTGGCTAACAACCATCCGTAACTCCAGTTCCAGGGATCCAATATCCTCTTCTGACCTCCTCAGGCATTGCAAGACATGGGTGCACTTACATACATGCAGGCAGTACACTCACTCACATAAAATAAAAAATAATAAAACATTTTCAAAAAATGAAGTACAGTTATGAGCTTATATGGTAATGCTTGGGTTCTGAGGAACCACCACATATTTTTCCATAATGACTAATTTACACTCTCAGGAACAGATTCTCTTTTCTTCACACCTTCACCAACACTTGCTATTCTTTGGTTGGTTGTTTTTGCTAACAACCCTTCTATTATGTGTGAGGTCACATCACATCTCATAGTGGTTTGGATTTGCATTTCCATGATCATCAATGATAATGATCAGTTCTTTCATTTATCTGTTGGGTATCTGCTGGAAACTTGTATATCTTTTTTTGAGATGTGAATGTTTAGGTTCTTGGCCTATTTTTATTGGATTATTTATTTTCTTGATATTGTATTATTTTAGTTTCTTTTGTATTTTGAGTATTATTAGACATATGGTTTGAAAATTGTATTAGTTACTTTTTCTGTTGCTGTGACAAAATTCCATGCCCAACACAACTTACAGAAAAAGGAATTTATACTAGCTTAAGTTTTCAGAATCCTTCATGGAGAGATAGGCATGGTGGAAGGTGGCTGAAGCAGGATGCTTCACATCTTCAACCATAAACAAATCAGAGAGAGCAAACTGGAAGTGGGTTGAGGCTATAAACTCACAAAGCCCTTCCCCAGTAACATACCCTCTCCAACAAGATCACACCTCTAACCCTTCTCAAACAGCACCACCAGCTGGGGACCAAGTGCTCAAATACTTGAGTCTATGGAGGATATTCCTCATTCAAATCACCACATTCTGTTCCCTGGACCCCACAGATTCATGGCCATATCATAATGCAAAATGCATTTACTCCAACTTTAAAATATCCTATAGCCTTTAACAGGTTCAACAATACTAAAAAGTGCAAGGTCCAAACTATTTTCTGAGATTCAAGGCAATCCATTCATTGTGAGGGTTCTCTCAAAGGCCAGAAGAAGATATCAGATCCCCTGGATCTGGAGTTACAGGTGGTTGAGACCTGCCTAATCTGGGTGCTGGGAACCAAATCCAGGTCCTCTGCAAGAGCAGCAGATGTTTTAAACCACCAAGTCAGCTCTCCAGCCCCAAATTTTTTCTCTTTAAAGCAAATGTGCAGTGAGAGAGATGTGGTCTCTCTCTATAAGCTATTCCAAGAATCCTCACTAGAAAATCAGCTCTATGTCTTCTAAACAGATTTTTCTAAGACGTCAGTTGAATCCAGTTCTAACTCAAAGACAAAGAAAGCTTGCTTTCTTTTAGCTGCTAATATGATTTAGTGTGGACTGTTTCTGCTAGAATTTCATAAACAGCCACAAAGCTATAACTTGCTGAAGGAAATGCTAAAAAGCAGAACCCTTAGTAGTTGAAGTCACCTGTTCTTAAAAAGTATATTCTGGGGGCTAGGGAGATGGCTCAGCAGTTAAGAGCACTGGCTGTTAAGAGGACTGGGGTTCAATTCCGATCACCCACATGAGAGGTAACAATGGTCCGTATCACCAGTTCCATAGGATTCGACGCCCTCTTCTAACCTCCACAGGCATTGCATGTCACAGGCACACTTACATGCATACAGGCAGAACATTCATACATATAAAATAAAAATAATATTTTTCTAAAAATAAATTCTTGAAACCAAGTATTGTTCTAGGGAAAAGGAATAGCACAAGTCACTTACATAAGACTTCATTTGGACAACCAAGGTGTGTTTGGGGGTTTGATTCATTAATGGAATGAAAAATGGTAGAAGTTCAACAACAAAAAATTTCTGATAATAATGCTTTTCGAGATTCTCAAAATCTTTATTGTCATTTTCATTTTAGTATAAAGGCATTCTCCTGAGACAGTGCGTTGAGACACCTCACAGGCACAGTCAGCCTCAAACGGATGTTACTGGGCAGACTTCCTGGGTTCGTTCTCCCACTGTCTCCACAAGAACTGAGCTCTCTTCTCTCATCCCAGGCACTTCTCTTCTAGGAGCTTCTCTCCCAGAGGCCCGAAGAAGGCATCCTGAAACACACACAAAAAATTGAGTTTATTGCTTCGTGTACCAAACTGACAGAATGTCTTCTTCAGGACTGAGATTGCAAACATTTCCAAGTATCCATGCTATCTCAAAACATTTAAATTAGGATAAAATGCTGTGAATAATGTTCCACAATCTGGTAAACATCACTGAAGATTACTGACAAATACCAGTTGTTGTAGAACTCTTTGTACAATCAGAAGATGTAAAAATGGAAAATGGAACATTTCACTCCAGAACACATAAATAAGATGACTTTTCCAGTAATGAAAAGAGGAAAGTAAACTTCCAGATCAGTTTCAGCTGAATGGAAGACTAAGCCTTCTCTAAGGTCCCGTGTTCATTTCTCAAAATTTCCATGTGGATAGTCTCAACCTTGGTAGCTTGCCCCCAAGTAAGAGTGGTAACTTAAAATAAAAATTCCTCCAAGTTAAGTTTCACCCTACTGAAAAGAAAGATAGAATTTTAAATTTTGCTAGCTGATAATATTAGAGCTTATATTTTCTGTTTCCCTTAACTTTGCATATTTTTTAAATCTGCAATGTTCTCTTCACATCTGACATAACTCATGGGCATTATATATTTATCAAAAGAAGCCTATCTAAATTACTAAAGGCAAGAGCTAGAGAAAGAGCTGAGTACTTAAGAGCACTTGCAGATCTTCCAGAGGACCAGAGTTTGGTTCCCAGCACCCATGTCAGGCAGCTCACACTGCTGCAACTCCAGCTCCAAGGGATTCAATGCCCTCTTCTGACCTCCACAGGTACCTATGTTCACTGTGTGTACACATACATACAGACACATGCATACAAATAAATAAATAAAAATAATTTTTAAAATAAAGGCAATGACATGACCCCCAAGTACATGTCACAAAAATGTACATATTTTAGTGTGTAAACTGAATCCCTAAACTTCATCAAATATAGAGTTAGCATTCAAAATGTAGCATATAACACTTAAGGAACTAATAGTAAAATCTGGGAGATTTGCTCATAGTATCACATCCTGTGTAAATCAGTGCTATGATTGAGGCAAGAACAAGAAAAAAAACACAGAGTCCAGGATTTATCAGCCTCTAAGTGTACAGAGAAATTCTGAAGAATGCCTTTAAAAAGGAAAAATTGCTCTGCATGAGAGAGAGGAGACCATTTAGTTACTGAGCTTAGGAAGGGCAGCTGTCCGCACTTCATCTCTCACAAGACGCCCTAGATAACAAACTGCTGTCTTTTCACCCCTCCATGGCAGAAACACTGTCCATTCATCCCTTAAACAGGAAGTTGAAACAAAGCCACTCACCTGACCATTTTGAAACTGTTCCTTACTCCTCTGACTTTGGGTTCTAGGGACAAGGATCTCAAAACATTAGAAGAAGGAGTGAAGTCCTTGGTACAAAAGACTGGGAGTTACAGTGGCCTCATGTGAACGCTGAGGTAATTCACTTAGCTCTTCAATTATATTATTCTCATTTATACAGCGATACCATTGAACTAAACATTCTGGTTGTCTACAAATAAGACCATATATGCTTTGGTTGGGTTGAGGACAT